CAGTCAACTTGTGCAAAGCGTCAACGTACATCAACATCAACGATCGCAATAACATTCTGTTCGTTCTGGTGCATTCTGTGTACGCTGATCTGCAGGCAAGTCAAGCGTCAGATAACACACAGGCAATGTGTCTCATTCTAGGAAGCTTGCATAAAATTCTCCATTCTACCGGCAAGCTTAACGATCTTTGGGTTATTCTTTGTGTTATTGAAACAAACACCTCGTCATGGTCATTTGGAGCAACCTTGGTCTGACTAATATTCGATGGCTTCTTCTGATGGCTGAGTCTACTCAGATACTTAGAGCTGCTGCTGACTAGAATAAAGATTATCTGCTCCACACCGAAGTCCAGTGTGATTCCGCATCTTAATACAGAGAAGATTCATTAGTAAATGCAACGGGGTGTGTGTGGCTCTCTGGGTAGCTATAGGAATGAGCAGCGGTTTGATAGGGAAAATAAAAAATGTACTCCATTCACCAGTTTCTCGGGGACTTCCTTGAATCAATTTCTAATAGTGCACCAACAGAGTACCTATTTTGTCAGTTGCTCGCTTTTTTCGAAATTCCGCTTGATAGTGCTACCTCCTCTATCTACTTAGAATGCCTTGTCGCTCATGGACCATAACTCGACCTTTCTCCTCGTGTCTGTCTCTTTTCGTATTTAAACGCTGTCGGACCTCGACATTCTGCCTCTAAAAGCCGAGTACCGCGAGATTGCCTGCGAAGTCAAACAGTTTATCGCCATAAGGTAAAGCTGGAGAGTACAAAAGAGGCTCTCTAGTGACGTCGACGGTTCTCGAACATCAGTTCACAAGCAGACATGTCATTGTTCGCATGCGAAGCCCATGACCACAATGTTGCCTGGGACAGTTTAATTGGTGGCCCATCTGGTAAACCATACCCCCACAAACGGTGGACCAGTAGGTTGTTCGCACCGCCGGGCGACCCTTCGTTCCTACAGTGGGTACTTTGAATTTTCACTTCAAGATCCAACATATATCAAGTTGCTCGATCAGCCGCGTTAAAGTCAGGGAAATGTTCCGATGTTCCCACGTGGCCAAAGTTTTTTTACTTTCAGACTGAGTGTCTGAGTTGTTAGTTTACAAGAAGAACTTTGTACCCACTATAATACTCTCATCCCACACACAACACCAAAACGCCTCCTTGACAGATGTGATTTCGCTTGAGGGTAATGAATAATATGTATCACTTTCGACGCGTTCCGTACGTTTTCTATATACTTTTGACGGCTTTTTTCTGGACAGTGTAACTTTTTACATTTTGCAGAGCAACCTACCTAGGTGCGATTCGTATCTTTACAAATTCGCACGAGACACGTCAGTGCATCAACATGCTAAGCCTGCACAATGCTAAGCAGATCCTCTGATCTGAATCGATACCACTTAATTGGACCGAGGTTTAAAAAAGACAGTAGTTTGGTAGAAAGTCAGTATTCTAATACTACGACAAAACAAGTGTTATTACTGGGGACTCGATAAATATTGCGTTATCATACGTTGTTTTCTGGCTACAGGGCTTGTGCTGCATGCCGTAAAATGCTACACTGACCATAAACTATCAAGCCGAACTAAGTTTTGATTAGGTAAACGCCTTCAGGTTGCATGATAGTGTGCCGTGGTGCCATTGATGTCTGCGACCCTTTTTATGGTAGTCAAGTTGCAAATCTAGGCAAAATATCAAGTTCACGGTCATTGTGGTACTCCATCCTCAAGGGGTAAATCCTTTCGGGAACTAAAAGGTCTATTCATGTAGTTCTGTGGGGTTTATTTCCCCCCTGTAACACAAACAGATGTCTTTGAGCTACCTTCTTTTTCACCTCTGTAGAACCTGCTTTTCAATCCGGCAAAACCCTACATTCGCAACAGCCAGAATTTGGCAGAGACCGAGGCGTTGTTGACGGAATTTTTCGTTGCCTCGTTTCGAATTACGCCGCACAATAAGAATTTATTGAAGGTATGTCTCCAGACGAGTTCACCGGCAATCTACCACACCGTCTTGGTGTCTGCATTGTATCGCATCATTACCCAGGTGAGTCCTTCCCCTACATCTGATGTGGTCGGTGATCGTAATTTATTCGTCTCTATTTGATCGTTTATGTTGAGTTTATGTGAATCAAAATAATACCGCTCGACTGTGCTGCACTTGAAATACATAACCGTCATTTAGTCCGTAGGAAGGCATCCAAAGCTGCAAACTAAGGTGGCTTGGCCATGTGTTATCCATGCTGAGTTATCGCCGGCCGAGACGAGCGCTGCTTTCGGTGCACATTTCATAATGATGGAAACTTAGAGATGGACAGAAGTTGACATGGCAGAAGGGAAAGGGGGATGATATGAAAAGTTTAGGTTGCGTTACCTTCCAGGATGGCATTCACATCACCCTTTTTTTCTCTCCTGGAGACACTGAAAAATGTGGTGGCTAACCGATCCCAGTGGCATGCATGCTGTTAGTTCCTGTCCAGATTTTCTAACTGAGTGCTGGAGGTGTAGGCACCTCGGCTGCTTGCGGTACACTCACTTTAAATCCCTTTCCTGTCTTACTTTTCTCTTCCCATCACAAAGCCTTATTCAAATGAGTCGACGTGGTTATAAGGCAATGAAGTACCAGTGTTCTTATCTGGTACTACTGTCAATCATGTGGAGGAAGCACTGTAGCTAACGTTTTGCCAGGTTGCGGTGAAACAAGTGGAATAGATATGTCGCCCCTTAAGCTGTGCACTATCTTGAGGTCATTCTGCAATATTTTTCCGGCACCAAGTGGGAACGCCATGAAGAAAGTCTGTCGGGCCTCCTGTAAAGTCCTGTTTGAGATGACAGCAAACCAAGTCGTAACTGACGCGCGCACTCCATGGCATTGACCACTCATTGGAGATCTCTCTCTCTTGAAGAACACTGGTGTACATCTCCTGTGGTCTTTTTGCCTCATCACCATAATTTATCAACCAAATGTGTATGGCCGAATTGTTTTTCATTCAGCTGCATGCTTGTTTTGTTCATTTTCTTGAAATGGACCGGTATATCACTGACCATGTGTTCAGTGTACCCGCAATTAGTTCGCTTGAGGCTCAACTGCGTCCCCACTGTTAAACTCGCAGGAGACAAAAAGTGTTATTTTGCGTAAGATCGAAAGTTCACATATTGCGGTTATGGAAGCACCATGGGCGTCGCCTGATCGTGAGCGCCCACAGGCGTAGCTCTAGAACTGCACAGTCAAACCTCAGTCGTCTGGCTGAGAAGTGTGAAGGGGGCGAGATGGCTCGGTGGTGGATTCACTGACTGGTTCGAACCCGACCTCTGCATCTCGACTTCCCCTGTCTAGGCTTCGGCAACCTGGCAGTTCCCCAGCCTTCGTGCTTCCTTCGGGTGGCATGACAGCTGGCCACCGAAAGGATGCTATAGCTGAACAATTATAATTATTTTCATAGATTGTTAGATTATCTTGCTGCTTCTGATAACTTCGGCAGGTTGCGATCTCCATGCTGGATTTCTACCAAAGTCGTATGCTCACCAACAACCAGCTTGCATCTCCAATGCTTTTTGGTATAGGTTTACTGGCATACTTGTTTGCGTTTCTGATTAAATTTTAGAAGTAAAGTTGTCGTGGGGACTTCATTTGCTGGCATTCTTCCCTAATGCTATTACTTGGTGAGGCGGCCTACTTCGTAGAATGACAGTTTTTACTTCCTATTGTGATCTGAGTTTTCAGCTCGCATTCGTGACTAGGACCGTTTTGCAGTATTGATCTCTGCAAGGTTCATTCGTCTTTTTTGTTCCCCTAATCAAGTTTCTACCACTTAGGAAACAACAGGAAATACCTAA